CACAAAAAAAAAAATAAAAAAAAAAATAAAAAAACACATCATAGTAAAATTAATACCTTCTCAGCTTCGCATCGAAGCTAATATATATTAGTCCACAATGTTTTGATAAATCTAATAATTTTTGGTTTATTAAATAATTTTGGTTATTTTAGCTTCGATGCGAAGCTGATGGTATTAATTTTACCATGTGTTTTTTTTATATCTGTTGCCCCTTTTTCTCAGTTTTCACTGGACCGATTTCTTTCAACAATACGCCAAAAGATTACAAATCGTATCTAGTTGAAGACATTACCCTTAAAAATTGAAAAATTTTCTCTCATTCCCCGCAAATGGGGGAAATCTCCAAATAAATTACAATTTTTAAAATCAGTAAATTTTGTCATTTTTTAAACTCTTTTTTCTTAAAACTTCCATAACTTTTTCAAAAATCAACAAATCAACATAATTTTTTTACATTAAACCTTAGATATTTCCCTTATATTTGATATCATTTTTTTGAAATTTTAACACCTGGCCTGCTCACTGGAGGGGATTTAAAATAGCAAATTTTTTACAAAAACTAACTTACTACACTTAAATTTTGAAAATGTTCCGGAAATACTGCGTCCTTTAAACATATACCAAATCAAAGGTAATGTCATNGCGTTAATGATAATTCTTGAATAACTTTTTGAAATTTTTCTTTGTACGGTTCAACACTGTTAACATCACACGACAGTTTTTCTCCCGCCATACACAATAATCTCAGACCAAAACGATTTTTAAATTTATCTAGCCAACCGTCACTAGCTTGAAAATCATCTTTTTGATCTTTGTGTGCGATTCTTTTGTAAAAATACTTGGCTTTCTCTTTCAAAATTTCGCCGGAAATAGGTGTGTGTCGATTACGTTCTTGCAAAAACCATAAATACAAGGCATCTTCAACTTCAGGAAACTCGCCAGTTTTTAATGTTTTGCGCTTTATTTTCAAACTTTCGTTATTTTTGAAAAAAGATTTTATTTTTTCGCTATTTTTTCTTATATCGTGTATTGTAGCACGGCCTACTCCAAATTCGTTCGCAAGGTTTACTAATTTGTCACCATTTTCTAATTTATTTAAAATTTCTAGTTTCTCGACCAAGGTTAAAGTAGTATGTTTTCGTTTTTGTTGTTGCGACATGTTAATACGTAAGTGATACAACACAATATCAAACCGATACACAATGAACACGCACAACACTTCAACGTTAACTGAATAAAAATAAAATATCGAATAGGTTTATCAGGATTTAATCTGTTATTACTTAGTTTTATCTAAGAGTTTATGGCTTACGATAGTAAATTTATAAATAAATACATACAGGTTTAAAGAGCCGGATTACTGGACGTACCGGATTATCGAACGGCCGGATTACCGAGATTCTACTGTACTGTAAAATGAAAAAAAAAATTTGTCCCGACGACTTATCTTCTATGTGCAAATGGCTGTCGAAATTTAAAAAATATTAGCTAATAACTAATAATGTCTTTAACTATCATTTGGTACTAGGCTCCGCCACAGACCTGGAGACCTAAGAGCCTTACGCGCCAAAGGCGCGTAAGCCTCTTCGGGCCGCCATCATAAGTAGGCCACTGATTACGGTAGGAGTACCCGGCTATGTCGGGTACGATAAGTGTTTTGCAGAAAAAATATTGCATCAGAATCAGTGTAACAAAAATATATTAAAAATGTTGTTATTAAAATTAGAAAAATTCAAAAAGAGAATATAGTAACATGTATTGAGTATAAGGTTGACGTTTATTAATGAGGGATTCCCTTTAGCCCTATTCAAAAATTATTTTAGGAGGGTATTTAATATTTTTTACCTTTTCAAACATGTTATAGAATTTATTTGCTAAAAATTAAATTAATGATGAAAAAAAGGACATTATGTCCTTATTTATTAGAAGTTGCCTAAAAAAATATTGATAGCGCTAGTTCACGAAGGGCCCATATCTCCTTTAAATTCACCCCTTGTATACACAAAAATTATTAATATTTTAATTATAATAATTGTGTTACATATTATTGTTATTATTAATATTATAGAATAATTTAAAAAACTTCAGCAGGTTATTATACGTGGGACTATGTAAAAAATTTTATTTTGATAAAAATATTGTTAACTGTGATATAACGTTGGGCAGCATAGTTGTCATAGATGAATCCCCAATTCAAACGATAAACTCATAGACAAATACAAAAAAAAAAGATTATTAATAATGTACTGTTCTGATGATTAAAGTACAAACTTATATAATTATAACCGTCTTGAAATTTATACATAACATATAATATTTCTCGATAAAATATAAAGCTATGTGCAAATACAAAAAAGTGTCCTAATAAAAATATATATTACACCATATAATTAAGGTTCATAATAAACGTATGAGCAGAAATGAATCAATGCGTATGTGGGTTATATCTTACAACACACAATTATTTAAATGGCGGTAGACTTTTATTAAACAAAATTATAACACGAAAATAGACGTATAAACACTAAAAGAAAATATATGTATATACAGTAAGGAAAAATAAAATAATCGAAGTAAACATAATACACGATGACAACAGCGGCGGGGTGTAGCGGTCGTGTAGCGTATCGCGGACTAGACAGTCTGAACTGAACTAACTCACTGACTGATTCTTCCGATATATATATAGCTCCGATAAGGCTCTCGCTAATTCTAGAATATTCTATACCCGCGTAGGTTATCTTATGGCGTTATCGAAGTTTCTCGAAGGTTTTTGATAACGAGAACATTCGAGAATATTCGTTGCGTATGTTTTGGTCGCTACATCACTCCCCTACCAGTGACGGAGTCAAGCGGAGCCTACTTGAAGACGGTCTGGAAAATGGACTCTTCTTCCGGAACGTGTCCTTTGATCCTCCCTGGGAATGGTAATGGGTGTATGTGTCTGGATCTTTTTCGGAATATTTTCCTTAGAGTATTCATCTGCCATGATGTATGCTGGTTTAAGTCTATCTATAGTAACTGTAACTTTCTTCTTATTAATATCAATAACAAAAGTTTTTTCGTTCCTACTTATGACTCGATAGGGACCATCATAGGGCATTTGAATTCCGTTTTTGGGCCCATCATGTCGAATGAATACGTACTCTGTGGTTGCTAGATCCTTGAAAACGAAATTTTTCTTCTCGCCATGTCGTGTACCATTGACTGGTCGGATCTGCTGAATGTGATGTCGAAGGTCTTTGATAAACTCAGCTGCGTCGTCGCACTTGGCGGTATTATTATTTGACGTGAGGAATTCACCAGGGAGTCTAAGTGGCTCTCCATAGACTAATTCTGCCGAGGTGGATTTAAGATCGTCACGCCAAGCTGCTCGGATACCCAATAAGACTGTCGGAAGAGTTTCTGTCCATCGATTATTCTGATGACATTTAATAGCGGCTTTAAGCTGCCGATGGGATCGTTCCACCATGCCATTTGCTGAAGGATGATAGGCCGTAGTTCTAAGATGGTTCGTACCAGTCAGGTAATTAAGTTGCTTGAAAAGGCATGACTCGAATTGTCTTCCTTGATCTGTTGTGATACGAAGAGGGGTACCAAATCTTGCAATCCAATGTGTATAGAAGGCTCGTGCTACAGTTTCCGCTTCTTGATTTTCCAATGGAACTACTTCAGGCCATCGAGTAAATCTATCGATGCACGTGAGGCAGTAACGAAATCCTTCGGAATAAGGCATAATTATTAAATCTAAATGAACATGCTCAAATCTTCGAGACGGTAGAGAAAATGACCCAAGGGGTGCTGTGACATGTCGCGTGATTTTGGCTCGTTGACATTCGACACATGCCCGTGCCCAATGTCTGCAATCTGCGTCAATTCCTGGCCACACAAACCGCTGTTTTACAAGCTTCACTGTGGCTTTAACTCCTGGATGTGCAAGGCGATGTATGGTATTGAAAACTGTTCGTCGAAAAGGCTTTGTAACAAAAGGTCTGGCGATTGAAGTTGATGTGTCGCAGAACACTAAGACATTCGTGCCTGGTAATTCCACTTGCTTAAGTCGCAATCCGGTGTTTTCTTGTGCATACTTTTTCAATTCGTCGTCTCCCTGTTGTGACATTGCTAAAGCAGTGTAGTCTAACGTGTCTGATAATGCGTCCACGCGTGATAGGGTATCAGCCACGATATTCTGTTTACCAGGAACGTACCTAATATCCGTGGTGAATTGTGAAATAAAGTCCAAGTGTCTGAATTGTCGTGGTGTGCACTTATCCGATTTCTGTTGAAATGCGAAAGTGATAGGTTTGTGATCGGTGTATATAACAAACTCGCGTCCTTCCACCATATGCCGAAAATGTTTGACAGCGAGATAGATCGCAAGAAGTTCTCGATCGTAAGCTCCGTATTTTGTCTCAGTCGCCGTGAGTTTCTTGGAAAAGAAGGCGAGGGGTTGCCACTCGTCATTGATGAACTGTTGGAGAGTTGCGCCAACCGCTGTGTTTGAAGCGTCGCTTACAATAGCCAGTCGAGCGTTGTCACATGGGTGCGCGAGAAGCGTGGCTGTGGCGAGTTCCTCCTTGCATTTCTCGAACGCTGAAATTGCTTCTGGTGTCCAATTAATAGGTGCTTTACCTTTTAGATTAGGTACTAAGAGATCACTTAGTGGTGATTGTGCATCTGAAGCTCTAGGTATAAAACGACGATAGAAGTTTAACATACCTAAGAACTGTCGTAGACCCTTAGCTGACGTTGGCCTCTTGTAGCTCAATATGTCAGCGACTCTATCAGGTAGAGGACGTGTTCCTTCTTTAGAAATCATGTAGCCCAAAAACTTTACTTCTGGTTGTCCAAAAACGCATTTTTTAGGATTGAGAACCAGAGAGTATTCGCGTAGTCGCTCAAAAATGATCTGTAAATGTTTGATGTGTTCTTCTTCAGAAACAGATGCCACGAGTATGTCGTCAATGTAACTGAAACAAAAATCAAGTCCACGGAGTACTTCGTCAATAAATCGTTGGAACGATTGTGCTGCGTTTCGAAGTCCAAAAGACATAAAGAGGAATTCGTAAAGTCCAAATGGTGTCACAATTGCAGTTTTAGGGACGTCTTCTTCAGCTACAGGGATTTGATTATACGCTCGAACCAAGTCGATAGTTGAAAAAATCGTTTTACCGTGGAGAAAGTGCGCGAAGTCCTGTATATGACGAACAGGGTACCGATCTGGGATAGTCCGGGCATTTAGAGCGCGGTAATCCCCACAAGGACGCCATGCATCTGTTTTGTTCTTTGGTACTAGATGTAATGGTGATGACCAAGGTCCTTGGGATGGTCGGATAATGCCTAGTTGGATCATAGCTTCAAACTCTTTTTTTGCTGCCTTAAGCTTATCAGGTGCTAAGCGTCGTGGTTTACAAGATACCGGGGGTCCTTGTGTCGTCGGGATAAAGTGTTTAGTGCTGTGTTTGATATCCTTCAGGGTCCCAAACGGTCGAGTGATCTCTGGAAATTCCCGTAGTAAACCGTCGTATTTCGTCTCTCCCACGACGACCTTAATAGATGGTATTGAGCACTTGACGGCGTGACCACGAGTGGTGAGTTGTGTAAGTCCGTCTAATAGACATTGATTGCGCACGTCTACCAAAAGATTGTAAAAACTTAAAAAGTCAACACCAATGATGGGCTTGGATACTTCCGCAATCACAAATCTCCAAGTGAAATCTCGACGAAGTCCGAAGTTTAGGCTGAGCGTGATAGTGCCGTAGGTGTTTATAGGCGTGCCATTGGCGGCTGATAGGACGTAATCGGTTTTTACGCGGTGGCCTGGAACAGCACTACGTGGATAAACACACAAGTCGGCGCCCGTATCGATGAGAAATTGAGTTTGGGAAGTTCGGTCTGTGATGAAAAGACGGCGTGGAAACTGACCGGGCTCACTGGCCGTCATCAGTGATGACCCGTCCCGTTTCCCGATTTATAGTTACAAGGTTCCTTGCATTTTTTCGATTGGGATCCATAACGCCAATGATACCAGCATATTCCGTCTGCGCCATGATGAGTGCGGCTTCGAGATCGTGACCTTGGACGGTAAGTATTTGGTCTTGAGTCCGGAGTACGCGAGGGGCGAGTATTTAACGCAGCCACTTCACTTCTCAACGCTGCAATCTCCTGATTAATATTTAGACTAAGTTGAGAAATCTTAAGATTCAACATGGCTTCAAAAGTGTCACTTCTCGACATTTCTGCTATTTGTGGTAGTAAAGGACCCGATGCGTCTGCGATGTTGTCCGCATGGACAGCGAGATCTTCAAGCTTACTATCTTTCACTATTGCCAACGCTACCTGTATACTTTTCGGTAAACGGCCCATCCAAAGTGTCTTCAATAACGTTTCCGGAACAGAAGAGTCGGCCAGACTTTGGAGATGGCGTAAAAATTGTGATGGTTTACGGTCTCCAATCTCAACGCGTTCTAAAAGTTGGCGTGTTTTCTCCTCTTGGGAGGCACTAAGACGTCTTATCAACTCTTGTTTAATTTTGGCGTACTTACTGTCTGAGGGCGGCGTCATAATTATGTCCTTGACTTCCACTGCGTATTTTGGCGGTAATGCTCCAACTACATACCCGAATTTTGTACTGTCAACAGTGACTCCCGCGCTGGCGAAACTTCCTTCGACCATAGCAAACCAAAGTTCGGGATCTGACGAAATGAAATCCGGTATCTTGACGGCTACTCGAGCAATTGTTTCGTCTGTCTGCGCCATCACGTCGAGGTCACCAATTTGTGGGTTATATCTTACAACACACAATTATTTAAATGGCGGTAGACTTTTATTAAACAAAATTATAACACTAAAATAGACGTATAAACACTAAAAGAAAATATATGTATATACAGTAAGGAAAAATAAAATAATCGAAGTAAACATAATACACGATGACAACAGCGGCGGGGTGTAGCGGTCGTGTAGCGTATCGCGGACTAGACAGTCTGAACTGAACTAACTGAACTGACTGATTCTTCCGATATATATATAGCTCCGATAAGGCTCTCGCTAATTCTAGAATATTCTATACCCGCGTAGGTTATCTTATGGCGTTATCGAAGTTTCTCGAAGGTTTTTGATAACGAGAACATTCGAGAATATTCGTTGCGTATGTTTTGGTCGCTACACGTATATTAAAACCATGCGCGTGGACTTGAAAAAAAAAAAGCGAGCTAAAGGCAAAAATTTTCCGACCTTTGGCAATAATTTCTTGGAGTCTGGTGACCAAGTACTTTCTTTGAAAAAAAAATTTTGAAAATCCGAGCACGTTAAGTAATTTTCCCAGAAAAGCGTTTTTTTTNAAAATTTTGAAAATCCGAGCACGTTAAGTAATTTTCCCAGAAAAGCGTTTTTTTTCTTGTTCTATTATATAATAAGATATAATAGGACGCGTACATGTGTTATTGGCATACAGAAAAATCGTTATTTTTCGTTAAAATTTGATGAATTTCAAACTCTTGTAGCGGCCAGAGTTTTGGTGGAATCTCGGATTTTTGACGCTTCCTCGGCACGTACAGAACGCCGTGGTATGATTGCGAATCGTAAAAAAAATTGTTTTCATGTCGCAAGAATATTAGGGGGTGCGCCCTGGCATCTTAAGCACGTGAAAAAAAAGTTGAAAAAAGTAACTTTAAAAATTGAATTAGCTTAAAATGCCAATATTATCAAGCGACGAGAGCGATAAATAGTTATTATATCTAATAGGCGAATCTGTAATACTTGTGTCTTTCACGCTTAGTGTACGAGGTTCGAATTGACCTGTAGCGATTAATTTTTTGCATTTTTGCTTTTATTCTTTTTGAGTTAGAAAAAAAATTTCAAATTATTTGATTTTAATCTCATTTAGATTCATTAACTTGAATAAATATCAAGGATCCCATCACTGTAGTTTCCCCTCATGAAAAGAAATTTCTTATTCGTGTTAATATTATTTTACTATGTATTTTTAATTATGGCTGCGATTTATTTTCCCCCCCCTCACTTACCTACTTTTTTTAAAAATATGTCAAGTGATTACAATTCGTATTTAGTTGAAGATATTACCCTAAATAATTGACAACAAATATTCCTTATTCAATTAAAAAGTAGCTTAATCAGCTTTTTCCATACAAACAATTAAAATCATTAATTTCAAATATTCTTAAAGTATTTATTAACGAATTAGATTTGATATGATAAAAGTATTCCTTATTATTTAAAGTAAATAATTTTACTTTGTAATTTGTTAATCTTTTAACTCTATTTGTGTTTGCTACTATATATAAAGAACTTTTTGTGATGCCTATTATTCATAATTTAATATTACCTTAAAAAAAAATTTAAAAATATGAAAAATTACCCTTTTTAAATTAAAATTTATTTTTGGGAATTTTCCCTGTTTAAAGATAGGAAAGAATTTTGTTCAATTTTGAAGAGCAATGTCTTCAACAAGGTACGATTTATGATCTTTTGACAATGTAGTTCGATGAATGCGCCTAATATTTTCCATTCATTGAGAGGATTTAATATCGGTTTGAAAATTATTAAAACTTATGATAATAAAATATTGAATCCAGTATAGTCTGGACAATGTAATATACATAGATACGGTCGTAGGTGGACTGTTTAATACGTTTACTATTTAATTTATAAAATGACGTAAGACTTTTAATTTAGTTTATAATTCTTTATTTCGTACATACATTTTGGCAAACGTATCGTGCGTCCTTCACAATAAAAAATTCATTGCCCCACTACATTTAAAGGAAAAAGAAACCGGGCAAAATGTGCTTATCTTATAAACAATAACATTTATATAAGATAAAATTGATCGAACTGATACTTTTGAAGGCATTAGAGACTACATGGTGATTAATAGATATATTATTACTAAATTAAGAGTGGCTGTTATAAACAATGAGAATAATAACAAAAGACTGCATAATTATATACACAGTCCGGTTCTGTTGGCGAGTGTTTCGCCATCGCCTATTACTGAACCAATTCGCGTTCTCCGCGGGCATTCAGTGTCTCGCGAACTGTCGGACGAGGAGAAGTAGCTGTGTCGTTATTAAGTTCTATTCTATTATAAATAATGTACATAGGTAAATAGTAAATCATATATTAGTATTGATTCAAAATTAAAATAACTAAAACTCAATTACTATTACTATTTTGTGATGCATATTCTACTAATCCATTATACTTAAGTTTTTTTCCAAATTGTAGTACTTTCTCAGTTTCAATATTTTTTTCTTTGTTAGGTGCCAATTTACACATTACTATACCTTTGCAAATAGTTGCAAAGGGAAATTGTCCCTGAAAAAAATTCAATCCAATTTAGTTATTTATTTATGAAAATTATTAAAATAAATAAATAAATATTTTTAAAAATAATTAATAATTTAAGTATTACAGTGTGTCCCATTAAATATTGGCATAATTAATAAGTTTTGATCCAGAGAAAATTTCGTTATTTTTTAGCTTCGATGCGAAGCTGAGAAGGTATTAATTTTACCATGATGTGTTTTTTTTTTGTGTATGTTGCCACATTTTCTCAACTCTCACTGGACCGATTTTGATGAGGAATATGTTATAAGGTCACAAATTGTACCTAATTGAAGTCATTACCCTTAAAAATTGAAAAAAATTATGTAGTTCCCTGTAAATGGGGGAAACTTCCAAAAATATTATAATTTTTCAAATCGGTAAATTTTTAATGTTAAAAAAGTTAATATTTTGTGAATAAGTTATCATTTTATATACCCCTTATGGGCTGGTAAAGAGTCAAATGTTCACAAAAATATACTAAATAATAGGTAAAGACATCAAGCGTTTATAAAAAAAAAATTATATTGATTTGTTCATTTTTAAGAAAGTTATAGCAGTTTTAATAAAAAAATTGAAAAATTTTTGTAAATTAGCGATTATAAAATTTGTAATTTTTTTGGAGGTTTGTCCGTTTTAAGGGGAACGAGGGAAATTTTTTCAATTTTTGAGGGTTATGTCTTTGACTAGATACTAAGATAAGGTGTTGGAACTTATATTATTTATTGTAAGCTTTAATTTGACATATGTTTTAAGGACGCAGTATTTCCGGAACATTTTCAAAAGTTAAGTTATTTCTAATTTTTTATATTATTACTAATTACATATAAAATAATAATTAAAAAAAAAAAAAAATTGTTTTCAAATTATTACTGATTTGATTTTTAATATGTTCAAAATAATCAGTCCAAATTTTCATTTTTAACCTATTTTTTTGGTTCTTTAAAGTTGATAAAAAATTTTCGATAAAGATTTATGAAAGTTTATAGTAAAAAAAATTGAATATATTACCATAACTTTTAGCTCAATTTCAAGTTTAAAATTGACATTTAGGCCAGTCAACAAAGGAAAAATTGCGGAAAAAATTTCCAAACAAATTTTGTTTTTTTAAAAATTGAATTAAAATATGTATAATGACATACTAATAGTCCTCATGATTGGAATTGAGCTTTTTTTTTACAGCCTCGAAAAAGTTAAAAAATATGAGCTTTTTTAATTTTCTCAAAAAATATTTAACTTACAAAAAAAAGTTTCGTACAAAAGTTGTTTAAAAGACAATTATAAACAAAAAAATTATCTTATATTTTTTCATTTAAACAAATATTTTTCGAGTTACATTACATTTAATATGAGTACTAAAATTTATATTCCATTTTTTTCATTTTACGGTTACTTTTTATCATGTTATACTTACATTAGACACAATGTTATAAATGCATATGTGTGTATGTGTGAGTTTATTTATTTATTGTATCATTAAAGTGTAGTGTATATTAATATACAAGCGATAGAGTAGGTAATTGATTTGACGCTATATTATTTAAACCCAACTAAACGCTAAATTGTACATTCCGAAACAACAATCATATTATGTCAATTGCCACCGGAATTTCTGGTAATATTTTTATTTTTCTTTGCCTTAATCCCAAGTACTCGGGGTCGGCCACCCTTATCCTAAGCTTCCACTTGACACAATCTACCACATCTTCTACGCTCACATCAGCTGTCCTCAAATCGCATTCAATAGCATCCCTCCATCTCTTTTTTGGTCTTCCTCTATCTCTTCTTCCTTCAACATTCATTTCTATAACTGTTCTTACAGCTTTCGATTCTTCTTTCCTCATACCATGACTAAACAATCTAAGTCTATTTTCTGTCATCTTATCCACGATTGACGCAACACCTATACTTCCTCTTATATGCTCGTTCCTTATCCTATCTTCTCTAGTCACTCCACTCATCCAACTAAGCATTCTCATCTCTGCTACACTTATTCTCTGCTCTACTTTCTTATCAACCGCCCAATACTATGAACCATACATCATAGCTGGCCTCACAATTTCATACTAAATTTAAAAACTATAATTAGTATTTAGTCATATATTATATTTTAAAAACAAAGGACTACTAATCAGGATATAATTAAAGAAATAAGAGTTGATGTTGCTTTTAAATATTTCACCAATTTCTCTAAAGGAAACACTATCTACAGATTTGCATCGAAGCGTTTCTTATGATAGTGATTTTAATCACTGTCAGATATCATCTATACTTGTCCCATCTATGCCTCGTCCACACTGTGCCTCGACCCCACTGTGCTACCGTTTTTTTTTTATAATTCATTTTAACTTGTATCAGATAAATTTATAGCTAAAACTAGGTATATAATACGCTGGTATTAACATTGTACATACACTTTATTATAAGTATTAAAAATTTAATTTTAACTAGCATAATCAATGACATAAAGAAAATATTATTGTGCTATATTGCTATATTACCTACTATACTACGTTTATCTAGATGGTGTAATAGAAGAAAATTATTTGGTGGACAATAAATGTCCATATTCTGCTCTGCACTCGAGTAGTGCTGTAGAAGCAGTAGAAAATAAACTAGTAAGTATCAAATTAATTAAGTAATATTTATTTTTAAAAGCTATACAAATTTAATTTTCAATTACAATATTGCAAGTTCGAAAATTCTAAATTAAAGCTAAATGAAGACCATGTGTACTTTTATCAAGTAATAGGACAATTACACTCTACACCTAGAGAGAAATTTTTTTTTGTAATTTATTCTACCTAATGGATAAATATAGAGGAGATATAATACAATCAAACATTTTGGAATGAATAATGTATAATAATGTCACTAATATTTTACTTTCATAGGTTTTACATGGAGTGTTTACTTCCAGAGATTGTAGATCCACAGTTCCCAAAGAGATTACTGAAATCAGATGTAAAAGAACAAAAAAATATATATAAAATAATTAAAAATTTGTTTGATCAATTTTTGTTCTTTTTACCATCGACTCTATACCGACTATTTGCAAGGCAAAACCACACTGCACTAATAACTAACAGATGACTGTAAATTAAAGGTGATTGTGTCATGGATAGGAACAATGCATTAAAAGATATAAACAAATTTTTATTCTTTTTTTTCGATCGAAAAGAATCGATTTACAACTAGTAAAAATTTAAATAATTAGTTCCCCAACAATTTCAATTATATCTAATATTTTAAACTTAACCAAGTAATAACTACATACATATTACTAGACATTATTATTATATATTTCACGTAACAATTAAAAATTAACAATTTTAACGGTAAGAATAGAACATATACGTTTTTATTTTTTTAGGGCTAAATAAGAACTTTTCAAAAATTATTATAAATATACTTTTTATAGAAAAATTTTTTATCTACAAAAAAATCCAAATAAACTTTTTTGCAAAAGCTAAAGTTTTTGAGATTGACAAAAAAAACTAAAATATCACCCTTGGGGGTTATTTTTAACCCCCTTGGGTCACGTCTTACAGTTGACCAATCGTCTCCAAATTTTGTACAATTTATTTATTCATATACTCAGATAATTCTAGGAGGTGGCACTTACAAATCTTAAAAAAAAAACCTTTTATATAGCTAAGGGTCACCCTAGTAGTTATTTAAATAAATATAAATTAATAAAATAATAAGCCCGTCATGAATTTAATAACTTATAGTTTTCATCATATACGTTAAGTTGAAATTCAGGCTACGCCACTGATTCTGAGCTGAGTAAGGGATCTAGAAGTTTTACAAGATATTATTATACTTCATTAAGAGGACTTCACACCCTCGTGTGTTGCCTCCGTCTCCACGTACGGCATAGTAAATGTTCGTTCACCAGTTTCAATAGTGTGCTGTTAGTTTTGATATTAGAACGAATTTACACATTATCATACTTGTAGATAAGAATATTATCCAAAATGATTAGAACCAAAATGTTCTAAGTCGTGTGTGTGTGTGTGTAAGATAGTTACATTTACGAATGTAACGTCCTCATAACATACAGTTATTTCTCCGTAATTTCGAATATAATCATAGCTTTGAAATTTTCAACAAGAATATATTTTTAATTTTTGAAGCATTCATTTACAAAACAATTTCAAACTTTTAAATTTATTGGTACAAATTATTTTTAATTAAAATCATAGATTATTATGACTGGTCGAGAACAAGATATGTTTAGAAAGTATGAATCGGGTATTGCTAAAAGACAAAAACACGGAAGAATGAAGAAATAATTAATAAACAACGAGGCTCCATTAATAGATTTATGTAATTGAAAAAAGAAAATTTAGATGAAGAAAAGTCGTTTAAAAGTGATGATAATACTAAAAAAAATAACTTAAAAAGTGCCGAAGGTCAGTCGACTATTATCAATTTAAATGAGTGTGTTCGGTCGTGACGAAACAGTTTGGTGGGTGAGCGTCGGTTTTCATCTCTTCAACAAGAGCGCGACATGCTACAACTGGTTTCTGTTGGGATAGTGTGTGGCAGTGGTCGTGAAGGATTCATTCGCGCTCAATTAGTCGGCAAATTTTCGGTTATATCGACGCCAGGTTATTTTGGGTCTAGTATTGCCTTGACGCCACAGTGTTCAATTTGAGTTGCTCAACGGCTTGTTATATGTTTACGGTGTTTTTTTTTTGTTGCCTTCCCTGCATCTGAAGTGTCACAATGTTCATCAGCTTCAAACGGCAGTTGGTAATTACTAAGAATTTTTTATTGTTTATTTAACGGATTTACAGTCCACATAATATATGTATCAGTTATAAAAAAGGGATATATGTTATTTATTTTATTAGTAATTTATGCTAATTTCATTTATTATTGGCTCTTGCTGTTTGTTATTTTTTTATAATAACTGAAAATATTGTGATTACTGTATACGTTGTTTTTCTTTCTATCTAGTATATTGTAAGGCTCAATTTCCACATTTTTATATTCTCCTTTCCTTCCGCTAAGGCATGGCCAAAATACGTATGGTCAATCGTATTTATTAAACAAACTAAAAGATTACAGAATTGCAAATTGCCAATACTAAAGAAAATATAGCCAGCATTGCACAGAGTGGAAAGATTCAGTAAATTGGCCAAATAATATAATCCAAGAAGTTAAATACAAAATTGGACCTACACATTTAAAGAATTTTTACTTTCCAGCTACAATTCAAAGCGATGGACCTCAGATATAATTTTCTCCAAAATTCTTTTATCGAATATTAGCAAATAATGAAAAAGTAGATCGTATTTGGCTTGTATACTCTTCAATAAAGGATTGCGTAAAACTTTTATAAATGAAAAATGCCATAGTGATTTGGCAACAGTAGGTATAAGTGACTGGAGACATATGTCGGACAATGTAATATTTCATGAAAGATCGCAGCACCACATTCAGTCTATAAAGTCTTGATTCGATTTAAAAACTAGAATAGAAATGAATGAAACAATCGATAAAAAACATCAAGCTTTAATAGAAAAAGAACAAAATCTTTGGAAAAATGTACTTATTCAAATTTTATCAATTATTAAATTTTTAGCTTCAAATAATGATTCTTTTAGAGGTTCTTCGGAAGTGCTGTATACTAAGAGTAATGGAAAATTTCTCGGTGTGATAGAGATGTTGGCTAAATTCGATTCTGTTATACTGGAACATGTAAATCGAATTAGAAGTAAAGAAACCCATGTTCATTATTTAAAGCATGACATACAAGATAAACTCATAAAAATAATCATTTGAGTTCGTATATTTATAAACAAAAGTTATTAATAAATATTATTAACAAAAATATAATTGAAAACAATTTATTTTAAAATAAGAAAAAGGTATAACTATTTTTTAGTATTATGATAACTTTATTAAAAAAATTATTATTATTAAAAAAAATTAATTGTATTATGAACAAATTAAGTAACTAAAATTTTACTAGGTATCCTCGCTTACCAGGTAGCGCAATTGGAAAGCTCTCTTCATAATGGTGAGGTAAATGAGGTTCAAATCCCAACCACTGGAAATATTTTGTTTCAGTTTCCAAATTTTTTTTTTTAACGCAGCATTTGGAAATAATTTATTTAAAAATTATTTTGAGTAACAAATTAAAAACTACTTAGAAAAACATGGATATAGTGAAATAATTTTTGGTTTTTTTACAAAAATTAAGTTATTTTTAACACGCTTATATTAGTTTCACGTGTATGTTTGTTTGTTGTTTGTTGTTTGTCGTTTGTAAGTTTGTAACTCCACGCGGCACGTGTTATTATGTCGCGTATCCCGTCGTGTATGACCTTGAGACTATACTGTTGTAACGCATTCGCCCCACCCCGCTCACCACTCGTAGAGAACAATATTTTCCAACCCGTAGACGCGCGCTTATCATCAATTATATATATATATATAACAAATTTTTATTGTAATTGACACAGCCCCGCGTCGTTTTACGCCGCGGTGCAAAGTCCAGCAAGTGCCGCACGGCCGACGACGTCCCGCCGTTAATGATACCGTAGTCTTCTTCTCGTTGTCAAAGTGACGTCAACAAACCGATCCGCACTCGCGCACTGTTGTCATCTACACTACTAACCTTTTGACGCCCGAGGATCACGCCGGACATCGCGTCGTCAACGACAGCAAAAGTGCCGCGATATTACGCGAAGATCATTATATTCCTACCGCCACCGCTAATATTAATATATATATATATATATTTATACATATATATATTAATATTTATACGTATATACGTATATGTTAATATTCATTTATATATTCCTACAGCCGACGCCTCTGCCGCCGTATATGCCTCGTGTATAATGTTCCCCCCGCCCACAAAATACGGCTATACCTCATGCATGATACGTTTACTTACTTAAGTCCCTTTACATGTATATATATATTCTAATTACTATTAAAACTTATATATTAATACGCTTTATTCTCATTAAGAGATATGTGGTGTATTCATTCCGATTACGGGGGATGATTCCCGTATCATTTTTCGTCACTAGCCGTTTCTCAGACTCTCTCCCCGGAATCGAACCCTGTATTCCCGTTACCCGTTACAACCATGATATTGATAGTAACTATTATCATAACATAAAACTAAAAAGTAAAAAATAAATATAGTTTAAAAAAACTAAAAAACACGCTTTTAAAGCACATTGAACTAAAAAGTTCAAAATAATTTTTAAAATAAGCTTAAAACAATATTGAACGAAAAGTACTAGAATTATTGTGATAAAAGCGTCGGGCGCTCAATATACGAAAAATATGGCACGAAGCACCCACGCTTTTATCACAATAATTCTAGTACTTTTCGTTCAATATTGTTTTAAGCTTATTTTAAAAATTATTTTGAACTTTTTAGTTCAATGTGCTTTAAAAGCGTGTTTTTTAGTTTTTTTAAACTATATTTATTTACTTTAAACGCTTAAATTTCAGTATTATAATTGACACATTTACATATGATGACGTTAGTAAAAATTATTCCAAATAATTACATGAAATAACAACTGTTTATAAATAAATACAGATAATAATTTAAATTTTAACCATGAACAATTTTTCCTTAAAATGTTCAAATTTTATTAATAGAGAATGCAGGGCAAATTGACACTTGTTGTAGGTGGTCACCTTGGCTTGAAAACCATTAGTAATGTTTGCGAACTTTTAATAGAAATATTTTTGAAGTTAATTAATTGCGATAAAACGCGACAAACACATGTGTTTGTTTTGAATCACACTTATAACATCTTTTTTCTTAGAAAGACATATCGTTGTTTTACGGCGTATGGTTTTAACTTAAATGTGAATAAAAAATAAAACATTTTTATTACAATAAATGATGAAAATTTAAGATTTGAAGATTCAAAATTGAGAAGTTCATGAGGGATTTTCAATAAAAATAAATTTTTGAAATTAGTTTTCGCTGTTTATTTATGAAAATTTTAGATGTTAAATAATTTGATTATAATCAGTTGAACTAGCTCAGTTATTAGACAAAATAAACATAATAATTATTCAGGGCATATCTTGAGGTTCTATTTACCCATTTAAATATTTTTAAAGTTTATTTTTATTCATATACTTATGTCGTAACACAATAAAAGAAAAGAAACAAGTCTAAATGTAATTGTGATGTGTACGAAGATGAATATGAGGATATGGTGCTTGGTGTCTAGGTATTCACGTGCGTGTTGTCGTGCTCGGCTGAC